CATTTTTTTTAACGAAATTCTTATTAAAAAATGTTTTTATTTAAATTTAATTTATAGTAGATCAAAGTTTTCAAAGTAATAATTCCAAAAATAACCAATAAAAATATATGACATGAGACTATTACATTTTAAGAAAATTACACATTTCTTTGAATATAAAAAAAAAAAAAACACACTTTTCCATGTTACACTTAAGATTAAGAGAGAACATAATTGAAGGAGTTGTGTACGTGCAGGTCTACAAGTAGGTTTTTTCTTTTTTTTTTCTTTTTTTTTTTCTCTTTTTTAACATAGGTTTAATAGAAGGTATATTGAAAAAAATTAGAAGCTGAAAAATAAATTAGGTCCACGAAATTCGAAGGTAGCATACAGCAGATTTGCACGATTTGAATTTCAAGTCTATTTTCTCTTGTAAGAGAGGTTAACAGATACTTCGTAAAAGAAAAATATGATTTAAATATCATGATTAGTTAGGAGATAAACACTTTTATATTAATTTATTTGAAGGGACTAAAACAAAAAGGAGAGAGACCTCAGATAGCGTGTTAATTAAGTGGTTACTAACTAATTACTATGTAAATGCACAAAATATGAAAATGAGAAATCTAACAAATTGCTCAAAATAATAATAATAATAAGATAATGAAAATCTAAAAAAAATTAATGAAGAAAATATAAACTAAATCTAATAATATGGTCATGAATTAATCTATAACAAGTACTGAGATATATATTAAGAAAAAATAAAAAGAATCTTGAAGATATAGATAGATAGTGTACTTACAATGCAAGATTAGCAGAAGAAATAGGTAAAGTTGGACACTAATAACCAGCTTGGGCCTTGCAAAGCAAATTGTTAGAAGTAGCGGCAGGTTCAATTTCTGATGCGAGGAGTTGATGAGCCAACTAAGGAGAAGAAACAGCTTTAATAGGCACTAGGCAATAGCAGGGTGCATTTCCTGGAAGATGCTTAGCAAATGTAAGTGAAATCAACGAGAGAATCTTATTGTATCAAAAAGAAAGACTTGAAAAATGGAAGTGTAAAATATATGAAAATAAGTATTATTTTACACCTAGTCCATATAAATATTTTAAATTAAATTACTGACCTCTAAGTTTTTGTAAAAAAAATTGAAGTATAAGGTTCTAATTTTTTATTTTTTTTGATATTGGATA